GGTTTGGTTTGATTCCTTCAGTCCAAAATTACAACGTTTTAGTGAAAAAAATCAAAACACTGGCATACTGCCGCTAAAACTTGATTGAAGTGAGGCTTGAGTATGCATGGATATTTGTATTACCAATATATACAAACTTAAACAAGAACGAAGAGTAAGTTACCTTCTGCAGCAGGCAGACGCAAAGCTTGTGCTTCAACTTCGACTGATTTGGTGCATAAGCAGAGAACTGAAGCGAGCATAGTAAGGTTCATGATTGTTTTTGGAGCAATACAATTAACTCCTCTTGCCATTTATCCTTTATGCACTACAGTGGTAAGAAAACTCTCTCAGAATTTCTCTCTCTTTATCTCATCCTCACTCTTCTTTCTTACTCAAGCTTGTGCAATGCACACAAACCATTACCAATTTATAGGCAAGGAGTACTCGACCCTTCAGTGAGATTGCCCTCGCATAATGCATCTCATTATTATGTTGAAGAATATGAGCCCCACATCGGAAACTTGACTAAATAAAATACAAAATATAATGAATAGTTCTACTACTAATAATATCGAGGCCTTTTGTGATAAAACTTCACACACACTAGGCTTTGTAGGTGATTAAGTTGGAGACAATATCAATGTTGTTAGTAGTGGGACACTGGGCCGTCTCTATGAATTTGACCTGAATTGGGCCTCTACCCTTACCCAATATGTGGTGTTCATATGAAAATTGTTAGTATGAAAATTGTATTGGTATTTCCTAGATCTCTAGCATATGTTGGGAATTAGGGTGTGAATATCTTTTATTGGAAGTTTTGGTGCAACACATTCAATCTTGGATTTGTAAAGTCTGACTTGATCGATATGAGGAACTTGGTTTCAAGTAAATCATGACATAATCATACATTCATTATAGGATTCCTAATTGGAGTTATTTTCACTCAAGTGCTTTTATATTAGTCCTATTTTTAATATGATTAGATTTTATCTCTCGAGATTATTTTCTTAGTTGGACCTTATTTTAGTTTAAGTAAAAATATCATTTTTCATATTTGACTTGGAGAACATGTTTCTTTTAATACCCAAATTGGTTTCATTGATATATATATATATATATATATATATGGTTTCCTTGAATAACAATTGGTGGGATTGGAAGTTAATCTTGAAGAGTGAATAAGATGACGATATGGAATAGGAATTTTATAGAATCAAATCGGATTAGGCAAGATATTGATATCTTGGCTTTATGAATTTTCTCTTGCAAGATAACATATAAAGCAAAAGTGTGCATCTCCTTATTTGTACAACTTTTACATGTTTTGATTGATCATCTAAATTTCTCTAGAAAAACTTATGTGTATATATTTGTGATAAGTCATCAAGTGTTCCATGTCATGTTTACATGGTGATTTATCAAACACTTTCATCATTCATATTGCATTCATTTGCATGTTCTGTGACTCATACGATTAAGGGCACTAAGACCATGGTGGCGGTTTTCCTCTGACGAGCTTGAAGCAATCGTGACCAATATTGCGTTCAACATAAAGAGTGTGGAAAGATCATCCCGTGACAGAAGTTGAGTTACGAAGAAGTCGATAAACATTATGTAGAATATGTCTAGGATAAGTGTGTGAGTACTTCTTGTAATCATCGTTCTATAGTGGATTTATTTTGGACTGAGGAGTCCCGTTGATTTTCCCCATAGGTTGGGTTTTACTATGTAAAATAATTTTCTGCATGTTCCTTTATTTTATGCTTAGCACGTTTCAGGATTGATAAGTCATATCAATCCTGCTACCAAAGTTTATTTTTTGCATTACATGATGTGGGGGAAAAAATTCTCAAATAAAGTCAAGGGTATGAAAAATTCCCACAAGTGCACTTAAGATAGACCAAACATAAAAATGCAATTTTTCTCAAGCTCCTAACCTGGAACCAAACAGCCAGTCAAATCCAAGCCAACCAAATCTAATACTTCGAAGCTCATCCTAACCAGTTCGAGCCAGCCCACCAAACAAGGCCTAAGAGTTTGAAGTCAATATTGGTATTAATGCTTGATGTAAAAAGCTTCAACCTCGCTTGCTGCATCCACATCACCCTTGACTAGAATATTCAATGTCTCATCCTCAGGTCAGTTCGTATTAATGAAGGAAAGCCTTATAGAATAGGGCACCTTCTATAGTGCACCAGGTGCACTCATGCACCATTTTCCCTTTATGATACGCTCAATTTTTTTTTAAAATTGGTTACCGGTTATACAAGTTGTCAAGTTTCTACTTTTTGTTAATATTTAATGCAAATGCAATTGTGTAAGAGTCGTGCAATTATGTCCTTCCTGTTTGGCAATTGGCATATGATTTGACAAGTTATTTTTCAATTGAGTTTATTCTTTTGGGAGCTTCACTAATATACCCAAAATAGGGGCTGAAATTATAAAAAAAAACCCCACATGAAATGCACTTTAGAAACACACCCAAAATTCATTTACTACATAAGAAATTAGTGTTGAAGTTCTTATAAATTACATGACTGCCATTGATCAACTTAAAAGAAGCCCAACAAAAAAACTTAAATAGCACACAAAACAAGCCCAACCCAATTTTATAAAAAAACCCAAACAATTCATTACAAACAACTTGAAAACCATAGCTTTATTAACGTGTCATATTGATTAATGATTGTAATGTTCCACACCTTTTTGTCATGTTGATTAATGGTTGTAATGTTCCAGTCTATGGTAATAACACTGCTATTTTACTATCATGTTGATTAATAGCTGTAATGTTCCAGTCTAGGGTAATAACACTGCTAGTTTCCAATGGCATCTTATTTCTAATGCTTGTCTACCCATGTAATATTCCAGTTTAGGGTAATAACACTACTAATTTCCTATGATATTCTATTTCTAATTCATATTTACCCCTGTAATGTTCCAGTTTAAGGTAATAACACTACTAGTTTTCTATGACATCCTATTTCTAATGCATGTCTACCCATGTAATGTTCCATTATAGGGTAATAACACTGCTATTTTGTAATGTTTTAGTCCTTCTAATGCATGTCTAACCCTTGTAAAGTTCCAATATAGGGTAATAACACTGCTAGATTCATCTGAAATTCTATTTCTAATGCATGTATACCCTTTGTAAAGTTTCAGTATAGGGTAATAACACTGCTAGATTTAATAACATTGCTAGTTTACTGTCATGTTGATTAATGGCTATAATGTTCCAGTCTAGGGTAATAACATTGCAAGTTTCATATGACATCCTATATCTAATGCATGTCTACCCCGTGTAATGTTCCAGTCTAGGGTAATAACACTATTAGTTTCCTATGACATCCTATTTCTAAGGTAATAACACTATTAGTTTCCTATGACATCTTATTTCTAATGCATGTCTACCCATATAATGTTCCAGTCTAGGATAATAATACTGCTAATTTCCTATGATATCCTATTATTAATGCATATATACTCCTGTAATATTCCAGTCTAAGGTAATAACACTGCTAGTTTACTGTTATGTTAATTAATACTTGTTATGTTGCTATTTCTAATACATGTCCACCAAAGAAAAGATGAAGAAAGAACAAACCAGACCAACTCAAAACAAGTTGAGTCCAGATTGTTAATACTATTATGTCATAGAAGTATATAGTTAATACTCTGTCATTACATTTCGAAAATCAACTAAAATATGAAGAGAAACACATAATTGAAGCAAAAGATCAAAAATCTCAAGTCTCCAAACCAAACGACAACGACGACAATAAAGATGATGATGATGATGACGACAATGACGTGGTGAAAGAGGAGTAGAGCTTAAAGATGATGAGTAGAGCTAAGAGCATCTGATCGAGGTTCGTTCAAGGTTCCAAACAATCCGGAAAAAAAAAATCAATATAAGCACGATTTTAGAACAAATCGAAGGTGAAATATTGAAAATTGTAGATGAGAGATGAAGAATATAGCTGGACTTGAGATTGAGCTTCAATGGAAGCTCCTCTTGCTCCAACATCGATAAAACACCAACAAGAAAGGAGAAAATAAAATCTGATTTGGTTTTTTGGCAGATTTGATTTTTTTTGGTAGATTTGGTTTTTTTGGCAGATCTGGATAGATCTGGGCAGATTTGATTTTTCTCTCTCAAATCCATAGTACAAGGGCAATATAGGTATTTTACACACACAAATAAACTAAAAAATAGCTATTTAATTTTAAAAAAATTGACAGCTGCGATTTTTGGGTTTATTTTGGGTGTGTTTATAGTTTTTAAATGGTATAGGATTTCTTTATAAGACTATGTCTAAGATTGGGTATATAACTAAATTTGTATATTCTTTTTGACTCATGATGATATGCTTATGAATTTCGCAATGGTATTCGTTTACTTTTATAAATCTAAAGTACCAGACAGATCTGATGAAAACCCTAACAGTGGAATCGGATTGTAACAAATTTACAAGCTTAGAGTATGCGATTCTAAAAATTGAAAAACCAGGTACTAACATGCCTTAACGTTGTAAGTACAGGGTATTAATCTGTAATTAACCCTAAAATTGATTTTGACAAATAATATGAGGTGGCAAAGAGATCAGATAGAGCCAGAGCATACATATATATTATGGTGCTTATGTTTCCCAAGTAGCCAGGGATTGGTCCTGATAAATTGTTCACAGTAATGGACCTGCACAGTGTACACATTTTGTCAGTTCAGTTAATATAAGCTATTATTGGCTAACCTTGCATGAAGTTCAGAAATCCTTTACAGATATTCCAACTTTGTAGAAGCCCATTCACGTGGTATTAGTAATAACATTACCACTTGTGGAAATGATATAAAAAACGTTTTCAGATGATAGATGCTATTAAAGATAAAATAAAAATAAAAATTTACAACTGAAAACGTTTCCCTTACACTCTTGTTAGGTAGGGTAACTTTGCAGCAGATAGTGGAACTACACCAGCAAGATCTTGCCCTTTAAGAAAACTGTATCACAAAAATGTCAGAGATCATAAGAACATAAAGAGTCTTCATTCTGAATCTTCTCCATAGAAAAATAATGAAAACTGGATTGAAATTGAAATGCTACATAAGATAATTAAACCAATAAATAAACAAACACAAAATGAGTACAAATAAAAGCTTTCAGTTGACGTACATGCTGACAACATGGCAGAAACCATCAGGGTAGGAGCAGTTGCATATGAGAGTGTTGTTGTATAAAGGCAAGTCAGCAGATTTTGGGGTAGCCCAATTTGTATCATTGCTGCATGGATCTATGCTGAAGTTCCAGTCTTTTTTTCCCACTTGTGTTGCTATTTCTTTTAGTGCTTCCACTGCGCACACAAATCAAATCATGAATCTTTTTATTTATTTTTTTCCATTTTCTGTGTTTTTTATGCATCAGCCGAGTTTATTTGTCATTTTTCAAAGAAAAGTAGAGTGATTGAGCCTGATATTGGCCCAAATTAATGTTGATGCCAAAATACTAATAGTGATTGGGCTTGGGCCTTCTGCCACCCACCATTCTAACCTAGTAAACTTCTCTAGAAGATGCAGATTATGCTCTGTATCTCTCTCAATCATTGAATTTCATATCCATTTCCAGTTGTAATGATGAAAGAAAATAAATTCAGGTCCAACTCTTTAGATTATAAAGTTGTAACCTTTATGCTTTTGAATGAATATAAATTTAGGATGAAAACAAGTTTCTTTCCTTTTTAAAATCATTTTTGTAAGTTTATATCTAATCTAACAAACATGTAAAATTATATGGGTTCTAATTTTTGTTTATACTGACAAACATTGAACTGGGAGTGCTCTAACACAGTGAAACTAGAAAGGCTGAAATCTTCTACCAATTCTCAATCAAAAAGACCAACTTTTGCATTGAGCACTCTGTTCTCTGCTGTTCAACACCACTATAAAAAAAAGAACTCCAGGCTTCATTTTTTTCAAAACAAAAACAAAAACTGAGGCTTTAGTGCATAGATTTTGAGTATCAGCAATACCAACTTGAAAAAATATTCAGAAGAAGAAGTAGAGCCAGTAATTACCTTCTGCAGAAGCAAGACGCGTTCAACTTTGACTGTGGATATGCAGAAGTAGAGGACCAACATGGCTACCAAAATGACAAGGTCCATGGTGGCTTTTGAAACATCAAAATGAAATCTTGCCATCTCAATCCCTGATGTAATATATCAATTCCCTCATATCTGTATCATCCTTATTCTTTCTTGGCTCAATCTCAGTCTCAATCTCTGTAGTTAATGAAGGGTCTCTGAGCCGTACGAGCCAATGGACTTTTGATGTGCGTGTACAATTTTATTATGTCTCTGACTTCGAACTACCTAGTTGGCCGGTTTGATTACATTATTGTCGAGGGAGGTGTTTTGCTTTCCTTGACTATGAAAAGTTTTCCATTTCTTTTTTGAGGCTTTTTTTGTTGGGGCCCATGAAAAGTTTTCGAATCTTTGTTTGGTACGTGAAATTTGACAACATGGACCCCTTTGATTAGTATCCAATTTGTTTAACATGTGCCCTAATCTTGTTCCTTTCCATTTTTATAGACCATTTTTTGTTTCTTATACGAAAAATCATGAGATAAGGAAAAATCAAGCACACAATCTTAAAAAATAACTTTACGTGAAAACTTCTTACGCGATTAAGCCATCAAGTAATTTCGGATTAATTTCTTTGCTCTTGATTAATTAATGGGTTAATGTCATATCCCCATTTCGAGTTGGCAGTGAGCCGTTTGATTTGTTTCTAAGATTGGAAATGCCCAGCTCTGTATAGCTTTAGACCTTCACCTGCCCAGCTCTGACTTGTCAGAAGAAGATTAATATTTATTCAATAATGCTAGTTCCACGCCAGGCTCCCACTTTCTTATTATTATTTAAAGAAACAGAATTCATAAAAATAATAAACTGATTAAGCTAAAACGTATATGGTCCGGGGAGGATTTCTGATCTCGTAATAAGAAGTCAAACAAAACAAATAATAATAATTTCATTGGCTACGTTATATATATAAAGTCTATGGTTGAATTTCATTAGTCTCCGAACCGCTGGTCTGTTTTATACTATGTGAGAGCATGCCATCAAGCCATCAAGTAAATTTAGAGAAGTAATCAGAAAAGTAATATACTGGTGGAAGTTTTATACTATTTCTGATTGAGTTTTTTGATAGCAAAAATATGGACAAGAGAGGTCAATTGTGCATGGCAAACCTTATCCTTTGGAAAGTTGATAAGAAAATGACTTGCTCAATTATTGATAAAATATTGTTAATCTAAAATAATTAATGTATTGTTATTTAAGTAGGAAAAAAAAAGTCAAAATCATTGGTCGGGTCAAACAATTCAACCGGAACCATTGCAATTTCCAAATCCAAAACACATGCAAAAGTCGGAATTTGACCCAAAAGCTCTCCCTTCGAGTTTGAGGTGTTCAAACTTTCCTCTCCCAGCTCTAATTCCTTAGAACTGAAACCGATGCATGCCATGCCAAGTGGAATTGACAGATTGATCTTGACAATTGTATCGTACGTAAAAGTTGAAGGGCTTTTGAATCACTTAAAAATTCATGCCTTTTTTCCCCACTTTGCTCAGCTTTGTCACATAGAGATAGAGCTTGCTCTTTATGTATTTGCAAAAATCCAATATTGTTATTTGAAAAGATATGTACTACTACTAGTTAGTTTATCATTACACGAGCATTTAAGTAGTTAAGCACGAAGAAATGTTTATTGTGAAGAGTTCATGGGTAGAACTTGCTTCTAAAAACCGACTTGTAAGAAAATAATGTTTAAGAGCTCATAAATCACTCTAGGATATGCTATTTTTCCAACATAAAATCTTGAGTCCTAGCATTTACATTAGTAAGAACTAGTACTGGGATTGATTTTATAGAGATCAGAAGACGTAGTAGTAGCAGAAGAACCAATCCATGGTGCATCTGATGATGAAGGAATAAGGCTCTGAGTTTGACTTGGATTCTGTGATGAATTGTGATCAAACTGGTTTGTCAAGGCTGTTAACCTCAGTTCATCACCGTAAGTACTTGGATCCGTGACCAATTCATGAACAGCCGTACGCCCTTCAAGCATACTCACTACTGCAGACATGGTAGGCCTAAGCGCTGGTGCTGCATTGATGCACAAGAGAGCAACTTTAATCATCCTAATGACCTCTTCCTCACTCACATCGGACCCCAACCTTGGATCCACCAGCTCCAATAATTCCCCTTTTTGTTGTAAAACAATAGCCTGAAAATTTAGCAGAGAAAAGAGATTTGAAAATGGAAAAGCAACTCATAGAAGGAAAGAAGGATGACCAAGTTGGAAGGAATTTGAATGAAGATCCATCTTACCCAATCCACAAGGCATACAAAGTTCTCATTTGGTCGATATTTCATGTTGCTCTTTCCAGCAACAATTTCCAATGTAACAACACCAAAGCTGTACACATCTGCTTTGTCGGTCAAATAACCCCATAGTGCATATTCTGGCGCCATATATCCTCTGCACACAAAAAACAATTGTTTTCCTTAGCTGGGTGGAGAAAAGTTCATAAACAAAACTAGGCTCTGAAATGCAGTTCAGAGAAAAAAACAGTATAGCTTACATAGTTCCAGCAACTCTAGTGCTAATGTGGGTGTTCTCCTCTTCGTCAAGCTTGGCCAACCCGAAGTCCGAGATCTTGGAGTTAAGGTCTCGGTCCAGTAATATATTTGTAGTTTTAATGTCTCTATGTACAATCTTCAGTGCTGATTCCGCATGCAAAAAAGCCAGACCTCTTGCTATGCCTATGCATATATTCTGCCTTGTAGGCCAGTCCAATTTTAAAGGACTTTCCTCCGGAACTGCAACAAACATGGATTCCCAATCAATGATCTCATTTTTGTTTTTCTTAATACACCATTTCAGTTTTTTGCCACTGGACTTGATAAGCTTACCGAACAAAGCACGTGCAAGGCTGTTGTTTTCCATGTATTCATATACCAACAGTAACTGGTTTGATTCAATACAGCATCCATACAATCTAACAAGATTTGGATGTTGTAAACCAGAAATCATGCCTATTTCATTCACAAATTCCCGATTTCCTTGCTTTGATTTGGATGATAGTTGCTTAACTGCAATTATAGTACCATCCAATAATATACCCTGAAATAAATACAGTTTAGTAGTTTTCAAGCGTGATAAGTATAGGCCTATAAGTAAGGAACTAGTTATATGGTACCTTATAGACAGATCCAAAACCGCCTTCCCCGATTTTGTTTATAGGATCAAAGTTATTAGTGGCGGCTTTAATTTGCTTGAAGGTGAAAAAACCAGTTTGCAGATCCAGTCCTCTCAGAGCTGTCCACAAAACAAGGTTAGAATATATTGGTAATGTCGTTGAACTTAGTATCCAGGTATGTGTTTTCTAGCTACATGGCATTAGAAAGAATGAGACCAAAGTACTACTTGAAATTTTCACAGTAACTTAGTGGCACCTTTTTCCCTAGATATCTTGCTATCCAGACAGCCTTTCCACCAAAGAATGCCTAAAATCAAGAAAATGAGGAACAAGACCGAAGCTCCAACTGAAGCTCCCACTACAATAGGTACCTTGCTTCCATGAGGAGGCTTGAACTCTAGCAGATAAAAAAGTGAAAAGAAAAGATCAGCAACAGAGACTACAAGTTTCAGTTCTATGAGATGCCATCATAAGTCCGGTAAATCAATTCATAACAGTATCTTGTAGGATGTTGTAAAGACCAAACTGAGCTAGAAAGATCGAAAAGAAAGAGAGAAATTGCACAGTTTCTTGTTATTTAAGGTAAACAAACTTTCCATTAGTATACTGTACTTGATGTACTATATATTTTCCAATCCATTGCAATTAACATACTTGTATTTTTGGTACATTTCCTCTATAGAAAGAGTACAAACAAGTGGGATATGATAAATTTTTTAAACAAATCTAAGATTGTGTCCATGAGAGAGAGTTAATGTTTCCAATTCAGAATATACCAGGCTCTATAGAGATAGCAGATATAAGAGGACCATATGTTCCTCTCTTTGGAGAAGCTGTTGTCCCTTTCCCAGACCAATGAAATCGGATCTCTAAAGTTTTATTCTTAACCTCAACTGCTTTATGTTCCTTAATGACTTCTTTATCAACGCCCTGTGCTTCCTTTTTAATTTCAAAATCCTTCCACACCAGTTTCTCCTGTAACAAACTTATCAATCAGAAATCATATTTTGTTGCATATAGTGTACAAACAGTATGCTTGACTACCTGAATATAAATATCAAATATCCGTCTTCCAACACTACGAAAAGATCTATTGCCTCTGATCGTTATCTCCGAAAAGTGAAGTTTCACGGTGTAATTGCCGTTTTGAAAGCAGCGTGCGTAATACGTGAGAGAAAGAGGAGAGAGGCGTGCACTTGTGTACAACTCAGAGTCGTTCATTTTAAGTATAGATACATTATTTGCAATGTAGTCTGTAGCAGTGGTGGTAAAATCCCAGAAATGTCCAGTGGTACTGGTTCCCCAGATAGGTCCCTGGCGAAAGAATTTTGCTGCACCTCCTGGGTCTTGATCATCTTCAAAGGTGACTCGTCCGATGGTGGTTCGTTTTCCACCACAATTTATATGCAACGAGTACTGATCTATTCAGTAGCAAGCAACAGAGAAATGACATCATAAAAATTCTAATCAGATGAAGTCAAATATTTGACTACATAAAAAACAAATTAGAAAGTATCGTATTGATTGTAAACCAGTTTCTGTCACATGCAAACTTAAATTATGAACTAATTCTTTTAAAAGAACTTTTAAATATTAAATAATTAAAAAAGCAAAGCCCAGTTGTATTGTATTGTTACCTTCTGGACATGCAGAGTTCCTCAAGCACTCTCCAAATGATCTACATTAGTGTGGTACACAATCAGCTGATGCAAATTTAAAGTCCAGAATATATGGAAAGGACAAAAATGGCTTCACCAATGAAGATTAAAAGTTTAGAAGCTTACAGGTTTCTTTGTGCAGAAAAGCTTTTAAACAGGTTTCTGATAAATATTTCAAAGAAAAATGCATTATTATAGGTGAATGAAGACACCAAAGTGTGCTAAATAATCACTAACTAGAAATATGTTCCTACAGGGTTTCTCGGCAAGTCTCAGAGCTCTCAGAAAAATTATTGTAAGAAATATCTGTCAGGCTGCATACAATATAATAAAATTGTAAGTCAGAACAGCTCCACCAGAAAAGTTGCATTTTGGAGTATCAATAACAATTGTAAATATGGTTAAAGGATCAATTCCGCAACAGAAAATCCTAAAAGTTGATCATTTAAAATTTTAAATGTTTCAAACAGTTAAGATAGATTGTATGTGACTGCCTAGGACCTTAACCAAAGTAGAAGTTCCCATATTTCTAACTATATTATCTGCGTAAACGTTACGCTAACTTAAACATTTACATTTCCGCAGGCTTCAATAAGAAAATAAAACTCAAGAAAATCTGTATAGGATGGAAAACATACTAGCGATTATCTCTGCTCTTCATCCAGTCTGGAACAGACCCGGTGAGCCAGTTGCTTGTTAGATACCTATCAAATGCACAATGACATTATGTAAAATATATATGTAAATATAATATAGAGTTGTAATTTAATATATGTAAATACATTTAGCAACTCATTATATTGTAGGACTATAAGAAGGTTTTAACAGCCCTAAGTTGAATTTTCTATTTTTAGTAGTTTTGTACTGAATGTATTTTATTTTTTAAAGAACATACATAAGGTAAATTTAGCCCATCACATTTTCAAATTATGGATTCATCACTGACTACATGAATGCTCGGACTCGAACTCAAAACCTTCCCTGGAGAAGCAATTGCTCCAAACCTTGCTTTACCTACATACGAAGAATGATGTTTGGTGAAATCTTCAAAAAATTTAAAATATTCTTAGAAAACTCCCCCTTCACATTTTTTTTTAATACTGTCCCTCCTTCATTTATCTATTTTAATTTGTTTATTAGGTTTCTTTTATTTCTCGCGATTTAACAAAATCTCTATATATCTCTATATATAAAGCAAAATGCAAAGAATGGTGAAACATTCAAAATACTAAAAAATGTCATTGGTTAATGCAAACACTAAGAATTGGAATTATTAATTAAATGAGGATAATATGGTAAACTCACACTTTTTCATATTTTAAAAAATTAAAATTAAAAGAAAAATAAGATAATAGATCCTATTTTTATGGAACATAACTACCCATTATCTTTTTTAATTCTAAAATAAATTTTAAATTTTTTTTTAAAAAAAAGCCTCTTGCAGGCGCGGAAGCGCGTGCAAAGAGGCTAGTTAGAAGAATTAGAAAAAGAAACAAAATAAATATATAAAACTCACACCACTTGTATATGTATATATTTCGACTGCCGACCAAAACATTGCTTTTTAAAAGTTGGATATCATGTAGTACTAGTGTAAATATGGTTTCATTACATCCACCAAACCTGATTACTAAAAACTGATAAAGATGGAGCAACAAACACTTACCCATGTTAATATATTATTATTATTATTATATCATCCTTTTCTTTTTATTTTCTAAATATAACTGGGATAGATAATATAATTGAGAATGAACATCACAACATTTTACGCTTGATCCTAGATAAAAAACAAAAACAAACAAACAAACAAACAAACAAACATTATAACATGTGACCATGTTTTATGCATGTCAGACGTGTAATATCCAGAGATAGATATAGACAATAATAATAAGTACTTTTGTGGCTTTGATTGAGATATATAATTGCATTATGATGTCTGCTAGTGACCTTCATGAAATTCACATTTCTTACAAGTACTGCAGCTTTTGCGGATTTTCATCGTCAGAAATATTAATATTTCCTTCCAATTTGTTGAAGCTGAGATCTCTGCAAGAAATCAACTAAAAAGATTGTCATAACTCATAAGATCCCAAAGTTCCATTACTTGGAAGCTTAAATGAACGAAAAAAACTATCATTAATCAACTTGCGCTGTGCATTTGAACAAGATGAAAAACAAAGAAAAATAGTGTTACAATTTATTCAAATTTTCCATTGCCGATATATAAGCAGGGATAGGTCCGTATAAATTGCAGCTCCTCAGCATTCTGCAACATAACTTCGTATTATTAGCCTAACTCAGCTAAGAGTCTTACATTACAACATGAAAATGTAGAACAGTTTCAAGACGTACAAGGCTGTCATGCCCATTATATTTCTCAAGTTTGGAAATTTTGAACCCTCTCCATTTAAGTCACTGAACCTTCTGCATTGAATTTCACCATGAATCATTGTGAGAAAAACAAGTCACTGTGGTATGAAGTTATCATAAAATTTTCAAATCAGGATCAAGGTTCTTTAGTGTTAATGCAATGCAGAACTCACAGTTCTTTTAAATTACTCAAGACAGAAATGCTAGACGGAATGGGCCCATGGAGACCACTAGCTTGGATCTCTCTGTCAACAACAAAATTCAAAATCAATCAAGATTACACAAGAAGAGTTGTTAGAATATGTCATAGGAAAAGGCACTTACAATTTCTCAAGTTGTTTAAAATTTTCCAAATAATCAGGTATTCTTCCCGTGAAGTTGTTACTGCTAATCCTACTGCATGAAGGGAAAGATTGAAAAACATAAAGCTGAAGATTTCCAAACATGAAAAACAATGTTAAGGTTACAAACACTTACAATTCTTTTAATTTAGTCAGATTAGTGAAAGCCATTGGCAATTCTCCTGTGAGATTGTTTGCACTGAGAATGCTGCAGATAACAAGGCCAGTCTTAATAACTTATCCACTGCAACTTGCTTTACCCTTAATATTAAAAAGAAACTGTGGATGCAAAAGAAAAAGGGAGCTTACAAAATCTCCAAGTTAACCAAATTCCCAAGCTCAGGAGGAACAGTTCCAGAAAACAGATTAGTCTCCAAGTTCCTGGAATTAAATTCTTCGTCACAGCGGGCTAACCGAAATGAAACTTAAAGTTGATTTGACAAATAAAAAAGAGTGGTCAAGAGAGATAGAGGCAGAGCATACAGATTGATTAGAGTGGTAATGTTCCCCAAGTAGCGAGGGATTTGTCCTGATAAGTTGTTCACATTCAAGGACCTGCACGCAGTTTCCTCATTTTCTTAGTAAAATTAATAAAAGCAATTAGAATTGGCTAACCTTGAACTTGAAGGTCAGAAGTCATATTACAGAAGTTCCAACTTTGTAGAAGCCCATTCAGGCGGTATAGGACCACTGAGGTAGTTCCTGGTGAAATCACTGTAAAAAAGATAAAATTAAAATAAAATTATACTATTATTAAGCTTTGCAGATTATAAACTGAGAAAGGTTCCCCTTACACTTGTGTTATGTAGGGCAACTTTGCAACAGATCGTGGAAGTACACCAGCAAGATCTTGCCCTTTAAGAAAACTGTATAACAAAAATGTTCAGCGCTCATAAACTTCAAATGTAATTCACCCAAAGAACAAAAAGAAAAATCAAGTCAAATCTCTAGCATGTTATAGTTGAGTGGACTATTCTGCAAACACAATGTTCCACCCCTAAATTACTCTAATGTACGTGAAAGGGGGATTCGAACTTAAGTGCAAAAAGGATGGGCTCACTACCTTGGCCAACTGACGTAACCCACAACTGTGCCAAATTAGATTAAGGTGTATAATGAACAAGAAAAGGGAAATTAAATTCATAGATAAACCAACAGAAAACATATAAATAAGTAAGCTTTGAGTTGACGTACATGCTGACAACGTGGCAAAACCCGTCGGGATAGGAACAGTTGCATTCGAGGGTCTTGTTGTAGATAGGGTTGGCAGTAGAGTTTAGGGTATCCCAGTTTGTGTAATTGAAGCATGGGTTTATGTTGAAGTTCCAGTCCGTTTTCCCCAGCTGTTTTGCTATTTCTTTTAGTGCTTCCTCTGCGCAACCAAATCAAACCCATGATCATATAATTGAACATTTTCCACCATAATCAACTCAAATAGCATTGATTAGATCCTGTTTGTTTAATTAACCCAGGATTATCAAAGATGATATCCAAACAATTTGTGACATATGGTAATACCAACTAGGAGGTTATATTGGATATAGGCCTTCAATTATGAGTGCGTAGGCCTGATACTGGGCCAACTTGGGCTAGTCCCAAAAAAGTGACCAGGTTTATTTTTCATTTTTAAAGAAAAGTAGCGTGACTGGGCTTGGGCCTTCTGCCACCCACCATTCTAATCTAGTAAACCTCTACAGAAGATACAGATCATGCTCTGTATCTCTCTCAATCATTGAATTTCATATCCATTTCCAGTTGTAATGATGAAAGAAAATTCAGGTCCAACTCTTTAGCTTCTTTCATTTCGTTTTCGATTATAAAGTTGTAACCATTATGCTTTTAAATCAATATAAATTTAAAATCTTTTTTGTATGTTTATATCTATCTAACCAACATGTAAAATTATATGGGTTCTAATTTTTGTTTATGCTGACAAACATTGAACTGGGAGTGCTCTAATTTTTGAGTATCAGCAATACCAACTTGAAAAAACATTCAGAAGAAGAAGAGAGATTGTGCTTCAACTTTGACTCTGGATATGCAGAAGCAGAGGACCAACATGGCTACCAAAATGACAAGGTCCAGTGTGGCTTTTGAAACATCGAAATGAAATCTTGCCATATCAATCCCTGATGTGATATATCAATTCCCTGATATCTGTATTATCCTTATTCTTTCTTGGCTCAATCTCAGTCTCAGTCTCAGTCTCTGTTGTTAATGAATGGGTCCCTCTGAGCCTTATGAAGCCAATGACTTTTGACTGGACCCATGAAAAGTTTTTCGAATCTTTTTTGGGTACGTGAAATTTGACAATTAAATTCGGTATCACAAAATGTCTCTCAAGTTCACAAAATTATCATATTGAGTCCTTTTTTTTTTTGTCATTCATGGTCCTTAAATTTAATATGTGTGTTCACAAATAGTCCATGCCTTCAGGTTCCATTAAAAACTTCGTTAGTTTACTGATGTGGCATATATGTGGAATCTACATATCTAATAATATAGTGCTACATGTATTTCAAATACAATATATATAATTTTTTAAATAATTTAAAATTTAAAATTCATAAAAATGAAAAATGAAAATGAAAAAACCAAAAGAAAAGTTGTATTTTAAAATTTAAATTATTTTTAACAAATATATATTGTATTTTAAATACATATGGCACTATATTATTGGATATGTGGGCTCTACATATATGTCACATCAACAAACCAGCAGAGTTTTCGATAGAATGACTATTTGTGAGCACACATATTAACCTTGAGAACCACGAATGACCAAAAAAAAAAAAAAAAGGACACAATCTGATAGTTTCGTGAACCTCAGAGACGTTTTGTGATTTAAAAAAAAAAACTATTATAAAATATGAGGGCCTGTTTGGTATTCAACTTGAAACCAACTTTTTAAACTCAAAAACAGAATTTGAGTCCAAAACAACAAAAAAACCTATTTGGTAGCCATATTTTTAAAAACTCAAACTTAAGAACAACTAAAAGACACCCCAATTATTAAAAACAAAAAATATCTGTTTTTTCAATTATTTTCTAACAACCCACAAAATTTTAAGATTTGAAAACAGCTTTCAAGTTGCATACCAAACAAGTTTTTGAATCTTAAAAATAGATTTAAGAACTCCTTGTTTTTAAGAAAAAATCAAACTTTTTGAGTTTCCTATTTAAATAAGATACCAAACGCCCCCTGACTTTCCTAGTGATTACTATTAACATATGAGTATTTGAATTATTCCCTAATTCTGTTGCATTTACTAACATATAAGAATAAAACTTGTATGAATTTCACATTAAAAATACAATCCAATACCTAAAAAGAAACTAGATTGATTGAATGGTAGTAGTTGATCTCATGCACATATTCATTCTTTTACTTATTCCTTAGTTCCTTTATTCAAAATAATTGAACACGTTATAACGAGAGTTTCATGTTGTAAATTGAACAATAGTTGAGAAAACAACCTTTGAATATGAAGAAATTCTTAATGTGTGTGTGTGTGTGTGAGAGAGAGAGAGAGAAAGAGAGAGAGAGAGCATCAAATTCAAATGGGTTATGTATTTTAATTTTTGTAAGCTTGATATCAATGGATGAGATGAAACGTGTTAGTAAAGGAAGAAAACAACCTTTGAATATAAAGAAATTCTTAGTGTGAGAGAGAGAGAGAGAGAGCATCAAATTCAAATGGGTTATGTATTTTAATTTTTGTAACGGTTGATATCAATGGATGAGATTAAACGTGTTAGTAAGTGTAAAATAATAATAATAATAAAATATAAAAAAGAGGTTGGTTTGATTTAGTTTAGAGGGTTTCAAAAAGGTCAAAACAAACCACACGAAACTAATTGTGGTTTGGTTTGATTCCTTCAGTCCGAAATTACAATTTTTTAGTGAAAAAATAAAAACTGTGGCATACTGCCGCTAAAACTTGATTGAAGTGAGGCTTGAGTGAATGCATGGATATTAGTATTACCAATATATACAAACTTAAACAAGAAGATTAGTAAGTTACCTTCTGCAGCAGGCAAACGCGAAGCTCGTGCTTCAACTTCGATTGATTTGGTGCATAAGCAGAGAACCAAAATGAGCATAATAAGGTTCATGATTGTTTTTGGAGCAATACAATTAACTCCTCTTGCCATTTATCCTTTATGCACTACAGTGGTAAGAAAACTCTCTCAGAATTTCTCTCTTTATCTCATCCTCACTCTTCTTTCTTACTCAAGCTTGTACAATGCACACAAACCATTACCTATTTAGAGGCAAGGAGTGCTAGACCCTTAGTGAGATTGCCCTCACATAATTCCATTATTACCAAGGGCGGACCTACATTAGGGCTGTAGTGGGCTCCAGCCTTGTCCTATTTTTCAGAGTAAGCTTAATTTGTAAGCCAAATTTAGATAAATTAAATTTTAGCTCGAAGTTTCTCTATGTCTCTCTCTATTTTCTCTTTCTTTTTTCTTATTTTTTGTCTCTTTCTTCTTTAGGCTACGTTTGGGATTGTGGTGATTAAAAAATGGCTTTTTATCACAAAACGTCCCTGACGTTTGCGAAACTATCAGATTGCATCCTTAAAGTTTTTTTGTATCACTTATGGTCCCTAACGTTAATATAGGTGCTCTTAAATAGTCCATCTGTTAAAAAAACTGTTAAATCCAGGAATATAATGGTCAAATCAATCCAAAATTATAAAAAATATATATTTTATTTATTTCTTCTTCTTTCTCTCCGCCAAATTCCTTATCTCTTCTCTCTCTGTTTCAGTCCATCGTTAATCTCGAATGGACCTTCTCTAGGTCTGTGTGGTGAGACTGCAATTAAATTTCATATCAAATGTCAAACACTGATTGGTTGCTAAGAAACTGAATGGAAAAACAATATAAAAACTCAAGCTTGTCATGTTTCTTTCATTGCTGGTTTCCCAGTGAACGAAAAGAAACAAAATTCCAAACTCAAAATTTTGTTGGCATCAAAGAGATAACAAAAGTAGCAAAATTTGAAGCAAACCTCGTGCATATGCCATAAAGAAGCGTGCCAGAGAGCTTTATGAGCCCATCTTGTGCAAAATTCCATTCCCACCTAAAATATACATATATAAAATCCAAATCGATTTAGTAGTTTTCAGTGTAAAGAAAAAAACTTCAAAATCAATTTAATTTAATTAAGTTTCTCCAATTGAGAAGTTGTCAGTGAACTTACAGCAGCACCAACGGATAGAGTAAATGTACCCAACATTTCAGACAAAGGCACATTCCCACCCTACACAGAAAACAAAATCACCCAATTCAAAAACTCAACCATAGAAGATAAAGTTCGTAACTTTTGTGGTTTAGAGCATCTCTAATTGATGTGTCAAAAGTGCCACATAGATATTTAACAATTAGAAATAGCATCTCACATCCCTCCAACCGATGTGTCAAAGCTGATGTGGAATGAAGGCTAGAGGTTGAGATGTTATTTTGACATCCCAAAAGCAAGATGTCAAATGAATATTTTATTATTTTTTAAGACAGTTGGTTGTTACTTTCATTTATTATTTTCTTTTTTTATATTATTTTTTCGTATTTATCTTAAATGATTTGATTGTTACAATAATTATTTATTTGACATATCGGGTGGAGTGTAAAACCGTGTAAATGTCAAATTGCCACATCAGCCATCAAATTTAAATTTGATGTTTGATATTTGACAAATCCCTTGGAGATGCTCTTAGGGAGCAGAGAGAAATTGGGTACCTCCATTTGCCAGTAAAATCTGTAATAAACAGCCATGACAACCATGGAAGTAATACCAAAGCTGGACATCACCACAACAACAAGCCATGACAGCCATAAACGGCCATGACATACATGACAGCCATGGAAGTAATATCGAAGCTGAACTTCAGAGCGAGGGAGAGATAGAGAGATTGAATTGAGGGTGGGTTGAATTGAAGTGAACAAACACCACAACTTTCTGTCTGCAAACTTGAGAGAGTCTCATAACGATCCTTAAGGAATCTAGTGGAGAGAAAGAAGAAGAAGACAAGAAAGAGAGAAAGAAGAAGAAGAAAGAAAGAGAGAAGGGAAGGAAATAACAAAAAATATATATTTTATAATTTTGGATTGATTTGACGATTATATCCTTAGATTTAACCTTTTTTTTTAATTTACAGAATGACTATTTAAGAGCACCTATATTAACGTTAGGGACCATGAGTGATACAAGAAAACTTTAAGGATGCAATCTGATAGTTTCGCAAACGTCAGAGACGTTTTGTGATAAAAAGCCTTAAAAAATAAGTAGCTTTAAAAATAAGTTTTGCAAGTGAAAGTATTTGGTAAACCAAAGAAAGCCAGCTTATTTTAAAAACTAGGGTCATCCACAGCAGTTTCTCAAAGCTGCTTAGACCTAGCTTTGAGAAGTCAATTCTTCTTCCTTCTTCTCACGCAGATTAATTCTTCTTCTTCATTTTTAAAACAATCAATGAACTTCCTTTTAAAACAGACTTCCATAGAAGGACATCTTTTGTGGATTTTTTTTATACAAATTTATAAATAAACCCAATCCTATACATGTATTTATAAAAAAACCCAAGCACTATTTAAACATAGAAACACACCCAAAATCAACCCCAAAATCAACAATTGTATATTTTTTGGGTGTGTTTATAAATGGGTTTTGAGTGTGTGTAATGATGGGTTTTGGGTGTGTTTATAAAGTGTTTTGGGTGTTGCGTTTTTTTATAATTTCAGCCCCCATTTTGGGTGTTTTAGTGAAACTCCCTTTTTTTAAGGTCATTATTGTGTTTTTTTTTTTGAACAAAAAAAAAAAACGTTTTTCCTCTTTAAAAAAATAGAATTTTTTACGTATGGTAAGAGAGTTGTAAAAAAAAAAAGGATAAATTGAAGAACAATACATTTAATAAGGGTAAACTTGGAAAACAAAAGGTGGTTTGTTTGATGTATTAATGTCATTATTTTAAGTGTATGGGAAGTGACACATGTTATGAGGAAAAGGGAGAAGGTTGGAGAGAAGATTACTAGCATTCCCCATCATTCAATGAAGCAAACGCTAACAATTAGTTCTTTCTCATGTGGAAATTTTTACATTTCTCACTTCTTCACATGCACACTACCTTTCCTTAACGGATCTGTCAATTTTCTATTATGTCTAAACTTATTGATGTGTATGAGTTCCTATCATGTATTGGGGGAACAAACAAAAAGGAAGACAGATTAGTCAATGAAATAATGTATGGAATTTTCATTCTTTCTTTATTTAATTTTCATATTAAATGACAAAGAAAATTATAGGAAGATAGATTAGTCAATGAAATAATGTATGAAATTTCCGCTATTTCTTTATGTAATTTTCATATTAAAAGACGAAGAAAATTCTAGAGGAAGACAGATTAGTCAATGAAATAATGTATGGAATTTATGCTCTTTCTTTTTGTAATTTTCATATTAAATGACTTAGAAAATTCTAGAGAAAGACAGATTAGTCAATGAAATAATGTTTGAAATTTCCGCTCTTTCTTTATGTAATTTTCATATTAGATGACGAAGAAAATTCTAAAGGTAGACCTATCAAAAAAGGATATACATGTCCTCATAAATGAAAAATTAAAACACACGTCCTCCTTCTTTGTTCTGAGGAGTGGGACAAAAGTGGGTGTTTATAAGACTTTGAGGAAGACTTTTACCAATCAATCAATGAAGACTAGAGGAAGACTTCAATACCACTGTAGCAACTAAGCCCTTTTTTTTTTAATAACAAAAAAAAAATGTTTTTCCTCTAAAAAATAGACATTTTCTTTAATAATAAAAAAACATAATTTTTTAATTTTCCACATATGGTAAGAGAGTTGTAAGAAAAATTGGATAAATTGAAGGACAATACATTTAATAAGAGTAAACTTGGAAAACAAAGGTGGTTTGTTTGATGTATTAATGTCATTATTTTAAGTGTATAAAGAGTGACACATGTCATGAGGAAAAGGGAGAATGTCCAAAAGAAAAGATTTGAGAAAAGGTTATTAGCATTCCCCCTTAGAGAATTATAACAGGGTAAGTTAATCCTAAACTAAAATGTTGCATTAAATGCTTTCTTAGATTGGGAGAAAAATTCTCAAACAAAGTCAGGGTATGAAATTCTCCCCATATGGGAAGTCCATATTCATAAGTCCATAATTGCATTCCCATGAGTACACTTACCAAACATAAATTTTAAAGTCATTCTCAAATTCCTAAACCTTGAACCAAAAAGCCTCAGAGTTTAAAGTTAATATTGATATTAATGCTTGATGTAAAAGGCTTCAACCTCACTTGCATGATTGGTCATGTGGACTAGAATATTCAATGTCTCATCCACAGGTCAATTCCTATTAATGAATGGACCCCTTAAATAATAGACTTATTAGAGCATCCACAATCATACTCTCTATTTTTTAGCTAAATTTTAGCTAAAAACATATAAAAGTTATTTTATGAGCTCTTTATAAAATTTAAACTCCAATCATGCTCTCTAGTTTAGGGAGTCATAAATGCTATAACTTTTTTTTAATTGGTCCATTTCTATTAAAAAATAATATAAAAACTAATAAACATTAATTAAAGGTTTGAAATACTCATTAAACAAAGTAGCATTAAATTATAGGGAGTCACTAGGAGTCATTTCTCTCTCCTCAAATTTAGGAGCTCTTAGAGGTCTCTCTATTTTATGAGGTGGATAGGGAGTATGGTTGGAGTTCTATTTTTTCAAATCCTCCCTAAAATTTGTCTAAGGAGGTGGTTTAGGGAGTCCATTGTGGATGCTCTTAATCAAGGAGACTTTTAATGGCACGAGTCAACTAGCAAATAGCTAGTTAGCCCAAGTGCAGTTAATTTTTCTCTAATTTATGTTTTTTTTGGAGAGGTCAGTATCTAGTTTGAGAAGGACTTTCATGCAACGGGAATATTACTTTTTGCTATTTCTAGTTAATAGCATAATGACAAACGAAATAACTTTTTCACGTGTAATTGCATTATTAATAGGAGATAGCAAAATAATATTATCCACGTTACAAAAAAAATTTTATGCTCCGATTATGCATGACAACCCTTATCTTTTGAAAAATCACCAAGAAAATAATGAGTGGTCAATTGTATAAAGACCCGAGCATATTACGTATAATTAATTCATAGGGTTGGTGCAGTTAATGCACCGACAGCTACATTTCTGTCCACACACAA